CCGCGTTATATACGTTCAACCACGCATGGATTAAACAGATTATCCCGAGTCAATGAACCTCTGGCGTAATTTCCTGGAGAAGTTTCAAGCGGCTTCGTGAACGGCTTCACTTAAAAAAAAATTGAGCTCTTCTTATTACAATCATTAGGACTGTGTCTGAACACTGCATACAACCAAACCCCTTGCAACAATCCATACACTGCATCGACCCGGTTTAAAACAAAAATCGGTTACAGTTCAATGTGAAGTCATTCTAGTTGTGGTGGCGGCGGCAGGTTTACCTTCGTCGCACAGAAGGCCTTGTCTTCCGTAGGGGCACAGGCACACGGCCCCCTGGGGGGTCTTGGGGATGCAGGTGGCCCCGTGACCACAGGGGTCCCGCTGGCAGGTGGTGAACTGGCACAGCTCGCCGGCGAAATGTGGGGGACACTCACAGAACCAGTCCTCTGCGTCGCTAAAACACAGACAAGACAGACGGACACCCGTCGTTATTATCAGAGATGGTAGAGGGGAGAACATGGTAGTAGTTTTTTTTTAACATTTGTATTGCTTTTTGATACAAAGAAGGACCATTTTGATACAAAGAAGGCTGCCAAGAAGGACAGTAGGAGACAAAAGTGGAACATCTTAACTGCATCAGCCTTCAAACGTTTGCGAGAAAAAAATCCAGTATACCAGGTCTTTCGTGTGCAGAATTCAAGTGGCGAGAATTATTATGCCAAACCTGTACTCAAGGTAAGCAGTCGCCAAAGAGATCAAATATATTTACTCTTTATTTGGTTGACGAGGCCAACATGAAAGACAGAGCAGGGTAAATAAAAACGAGAGAACAAAAAAATGGACACCAACACCCCTTGGAATCGTACGTATCTATGTGTCTGCTTTACCTCCCCTGGTGACGAGGGAAGGCGCTGGTGTGCTAGCATTCAAAGTAATGTTCACTCTGGGATGCTATGTGAGGTGCCCAACTTTCCAATGTATAATATCAGATGCAGAGAGCATTGGCGGGATCTCAGAATCCATACATTAATAATGAACTTTGAGAAGCCTCACTGAAGGATGTATTTTGCTTCTCCAAAAAAATGAACCGGCTTCTTGTATATGAAATATTTACACGCCGTCACTCGAGTTGAGGATTGTTAGTAATCACGCCAAAGAAGTACAAAGATTCTCCCAGAATGCACTGGTTCATATCTGTTCATGTATTGGGAACAATAAACTGAAAAGGGTTAATGTTTTTTTTTTGAAGATAGACAGAACATATTGAACATGTTGCAAGTCTACCTTGAGTTGTGGAGTTTTTGCAAAAGTTGTTAGTTTTGGGCTTAAATGAAAAATCTCAGTAGTATACAATCTTGGTTAACAAAGGTGTGCATGGAATGGGAGAAATATTATTCAATTTTATGGTTAATCTTTGAAGCCCATCGCTATGAAAAGAGAAATTGAACACTGGGATTGTGAATGAAGCTGTGGCCTTAAATGAAATCCAGACAAAGTACAACAAAAAATATAACAATCTAAATACTACTGATATGGTCAGATTTCTTGCATTTCAATATTAATAACCATCATAATTAGTACAATCCCTATCTATCGAACAAATTGAGTACATCTGAAAATAATGATGACAATAATCAATACACCACTGAAGAATACTAAGATATTTCTTCCATAAAAATATATAAAAGTTTGGATGGACGGGGGACGAACGAAGCACGACACTTGAGTTTTGAATTGGTCTAATCATTTCTCTCTCTGGGTGTAATTTAAGATTATTTTAATTAAGCTAGGGGCAATGACAAACGACATTAAGGGTTTGTGGATTATTTTAAAACATGTAAACGGTGAATGCAAATGTGCTGTTTATGCAAACATGTTTTTATGTACATGCACAGCGAGTATTTATAGTATAAAATATTCCGAAAGCCTTGTGCAGATACACTCACATTGGCTAAATTATTGAGAGAGACTACATTTTTAATCTTACGAGTACCAGATAACATGATTAATAATTAACAGCTTATCTTATGATCTCTCTGTCAGCTGGAACAATAAGCCGTGCGAGCGCATACATCTTTAAACCTTATCCCCTGCAAGTTATTAACAGAATATATATCCTTCTGAAGTGAAAGTCGCCACGTCAAAGGAACTGGAGGTTTTCCTGACTAAACGTTGTTGGTGTGTAGAAAGCTTTCAGGCCGCTGCTTCCTCGGTTTGCAACTGGGGGGAAAAAAGACAAACTATTTAGTTGACCATTACGGACTTCCAAGGACTCTCTGATGCAACGGGACGCTGGTAGGTATGAATAGTGGCTTACTTTTATGGCCCAATTGAATTGGATTACCATACTATTAAAGTCCCTTTCCCACCCCCCACACACAACAAAAACACTCCTGATGAGTGTTTTAAAGAAGAACACCGTTTTGTATTTTCCGTAAACCAGCTGTTCTTCAGCTATTGGGTCACGATCCAAAATGGGTGGCGATCCAGTTGGGAGGTGGGTTGCAGCCTGACAATGCACACACAACAACATGCAACACTCTGATTATGCGGTTCGTTTGGGTCCTGCGGACACACATGAAATACTTAATTGAGCCTATTAATAATTGTTAAATCTATTGTTGGTCCAGCCAGTCAACTCAAATGTTCAAAATTAACTGCATGTTTTTTTTGTTTCATAAAAGATGCAGATATTTCCTGCTAGGTATGTTTGGTTTCAGCAGTAGTGGAGGGTATACACAGTGAAGATAAAAACAGACTTGACTATTCCCAACAGAGGATGTACAGGCAGACTACATCCACCTCCTTTGTCTGGTAGGTTATATAACACACAAACACACACACACACCACAGCTCCAGCACTGACATAACTGTAACTCCCTTCAGAAAAATTATTATAAAATACAATTTTATTAAACAAATATTCTCTGTCTGTCTGTCTGTCTGTCTCTCTCTCTCTCTCTCTCTCTCTCTCTCTCTCTCTCTCTATATATATAATCATATAATAATGTCTCCATAACACACTTGGCGAGTGGGAGTGGTACAGAGCGTAGGACTATGCACATTATGGCAGCATCATAATCTCCACACAATACCCTCTGCTGCATTCTTTCAACAAACTTATTCTGGTCTGGTCACAATTATGTTCTGATCAGCAGGATGTTTTGTGTCCATTACAAACCTCACTTGGTGGACGAGGATTACCACCGAAGCACTATCAACATGCAGTGAAACTGGTGCTTTGAACGAGCTACTTGAGACTGGCGTTGAGTCAACCTGTGGGCTTCGGGGCCTGGTCATGGCTTGGGTGAAGGTCTATTGGTCTATCATGCGTTCCGCATGGTGGGTGGCTTAATATAGACTGTGTGTGTCATGCTTAGACCTAAGGCCTATATGTTCTGTGTGTGTATGTGAGTTTGTGTACATCCACGTGTCACAGGACTCTGCCAACAGCAACGTTTAAGGTGTATAAACCATTGGTATGAATGCATGACATAAACATAACATAAGTGCCATAACTGCATGTTGTCACCAGATAGGCAATTCCTATGATTGCCCTCATTTATTACATACTGCTGTAACACGTACAGTGATACATTTTTACTAGGGCTCTTTGTTAGGACGCTCAAAGATAGATATTCTCCCATAATAATAATACATATAATAATAGAAGATAGAAATGTATGGTGCAAACACTAGACGTGGAATGTCCCCAATACGATTTGGTAATATGCTTATTATTTTTAAGTGTGTCAAGGCAGAATGACAAACAGACAAACACACAAGGGGTACGACGTATCCTTTTTGATTAATCTTATCCTTCAGAAATCAAAGATGCATTGCGGCAAACAATGTAATGAGCAGCTTTCATAAGATCTGTGTACCCTTCTGGGATCCTAAGCATCCATGGGGTGCTGGGCTCATTTGTTTATCAAAGTAAAATAATAAAACAATAATAATAATAATAATAATAATAGTAATAATAATGTTTGTAGAACCTTGAGTTAATACTTAGGGTCCTTTAAATCAGTCATGCACAGAAGTAATAAATAAAAACCACTGTGGGTAATCTTAGTTATTTCTTCCTGAAATGTAAAGGGGAGTTGTTCACGTTTACGTTTTTTTTTAGTGTCCTGCTGTTTCCTTGGCAATTCCTCCACTGTGTATGGCCACGGTTCAGCAGTTCAACGTACACCCGCAGTATATTTGATGGTGGAGTCCAAAAGATCCCATTAACAACATTTGGTTCTCCAGTATGGCAGCCGGTCAGCACGGCAGCAGTGCCAGTCCCAGTTTTCTGTCTTTCTCTGTATTTGGCCAGCCTGCGTCTTGGGGGAGGAGCTCTTCATACTGTTTTGGGGGTAAGAGGGAAATGTTCCTCAATATGTTTAGTGGGTTTACTGGGTTAGCAAATCCGACTTTGTTGGTTTTGACAAACTAATGAGAGCGTTTTATATCAGCGATGCTCTGATCCACGGCCAGTTGGCTAATGTTTTCTGGTAATTGATTGTCAGAATCTTGCTTTATTTGCTAATCTACTTACATTAAATTAAATTACCTCAGGTAAAAGAGACTGAAATTAATGGTAAGTGGTAAGTGTGTGTGACTCTGCCGGCCAAAGACTAAGTGATATATTCTTTTAAGTCATAGACAAAGTAAAATACACTGGCTATTATTTTGATAGTATCTGAATTAAAAATTGTTAAATTAATCAATAATTTATACCGAGTTACAGATAATCATAAATTATTTGAATGTACTTTTATCTTGGCCAACAAGACATTAGACAACTGTAATTGTGTCATTGCTTGTTTTATCCTTAAATTTGTTTCATTGCAATATTACTTGTTCTGCAATTTATGTCAAAATGGTGGCATTTTACTACTATTTACTATAGCCATTTGGCAGCAAGCAACTAACAGTGAATGTATTATTAATACTTTTAGATAAATGCCATGCATGAGCGTGTAGGGGTTAGTCATCTGGCTCAGCTAGACTGTGGACATTGGGGTTCGAACCCCAAAACCTTTGGAATGGGATTCACCCAACACCCTAGCCACTCGGCTATCCTGGTATACAAAGAAAATGCAACATTATTAGTACTACTCCTGAAATACTGAAAATGTGGAACAGTATGGGATTACCTGACGCAGGTTCCTCCATTACGACACGGGCGGTGCTGACAAACGGGCAGGTCGCAGCTCTGGATGTTTGTCCCTCGCACCGCCTCGCTCGGCAGAAACACTTCCCTGGCATTCACCTGGAGCTCTCTGACGCAACCTGCCAAGGGCCGGATCCCTCCGGCGCTGGCGTGCACGTCCTGGTGGGGGGGCAGGCCCCCCAGGAACACGGGTCCCAAGGCTGCCTGCAGACCGCACAAAGAAGGAGACTTTCGTGGAGTGCTGTGACGCTGCTGAAGGACCCTCCCTACGCTGTACATGCAACATTCGAGCCTACAATGGATCCGTTTGGTTGAGAGGAGGTGAAGACTGCAGGAGCGAGCTCTTGAACTCAATGTGGGCAACAAGAGACTTGTACTTATTGTCGCCTTGGACAAAAGCATCTGCTAAAATTAGGGCTGCCCCTGACTAAAGATTTTCTTAGTCAACTCTTAGTCGCCATTTCAAGCCGATGGTCGACTAATCGTCACACTTTTAATGTAATTATTTTGATTTATTTTTTGGGGCATCAGAGATTGGTTTGAGTTCCAGGGTGAGAGTGTTATAAAAAAAACACTGTTGACCTTACAGCTACTTTACAGATAATACAATACCGTAATAATCAGCCTTTAAAATACAATTTTTACAAGCACACGCACAAAGCGGGCCACCTATTAACGGCATGGACCAAGCGGTTCTGAAGGTTGTCGGAACAACCAGGAAGGAGACATGAACACTTGATAATTTTATTTATACACCGTATAACTGCACAGAACTTTATTTAAAGGCAAGCAAATGGAAAAAATGTTTGTTGGTATTTTCGTGTCCGGTGCGTGTGGATGTGTCGCGCTCCTTCGGGGGAGCGGTTAATGTTAATAGTGGTGCCTGGGAGGGTTAACCTTCGCAAACTAGGGATGTGCGACTATCGTCTTGTCTTAAAAAATACAAAAGTATTTTTTAAAGTTAAGATATTAGATATTCAACAGATATTCACGCTCCGAATTACAGCGATCAGACACGGGGTGTAGGCCTATACCTGCCCAGATGTATACCTACCGAGGAGACGGTCGGGCAGCAGCACTCCTCTCTATAGAGCCATCGTTTGGTCAATATTTCTGCCACCACGGATGTATTCGGTTGCGATGCTTGTGTTATTTTTATGTTGTACTTTTTTAATGAAAACTTATTTGACTAATCCTCTGTCGATCGACTAAAGGTTGGGGGGCAGCCCTAGCTAAAATACCTTAAATGTCAATGTAAATGTAAGAGAACATACAGCGTCCACAACACAGTCCATTACAGTATCAATGTGGTTAATATCGGCTGCCCATAAATAGATGGATCAACGTTGTTCACATTATATGATGTTATGTTTTAAAACAATGCAAAACAAGTGCCACTGACCTATTGATTGTATATATCGATAGAGGTACTATTGTACCTCTATCGATATTGTACTACTATTATACCAGTTACCACACTGGTGGAAACACTATAATATCACCATTAGGTTTCATGCTATGAGTTGGTTTTGCAGATATCTGCAAATATAAAAAAGATAAAATAAAAGATAAAAAGATAAAATAAACATACAAACCCTTGGAAGAAGAGAATAATGTTGTTGTTCATGGACATTTTCTTGAGGAAAAAAAAAAAAAGTAACAGCATACTTTGTGCCGTGTTGGTAGTGTTTAATGATGTCTAATCAATAAGATGAGACTGATTTTAGTCTAACATTTACCAGTGCCCTTTTCACTGCTCTGGAGCTATTTCGTCATTCTCTGTGCACAGCTTTATTCCTGTGCTAGGTGCATACCGGGCCTATGCATGGGCCTGACCTATTACCTGCTGCCATTCACTGTAAAACACATCAAAATGTTGCCAAGAAAAGACTCAAGACTGACTGTAAAATTGCTAGGTATGGGTAACACACCCCTACCAAAAAAAACAAAAAACCTGGCAGACACTTACTTTCGCTAGAAGACTATTCAAAATGTGCGTATTTATATCCATCCTTCCTGTGAGAACTTCAAAATTACACCACCAAGCGTTGTCCTAGGAAGATACTTTGCTGAGTAGTAAGTCCCAGATTCCTGGAAAGTAGTCTTCAGAGTTTTTTTGTTCATTTTTTTTAGTAAAGCCATTGAAAATGGCTTTACTAATGTATAGAGGTCGTTTATTTTATTACATTTTTTATTAAATAACCTTCCTTTTCTGCTAAATCCATTTGATGAGCAGGGGTAATTAGGTAGAATAAATACGCTGTGAACCGACTGCTTATTCTACCTTACGGACAATTTCACAAGTGAGACATAATCATCTGCCACCCAAACGCTGCGTTACAGATATAAAAAAAAAACATATGCCATGTGCATCTCTTGGGAATGTTTATAAATGTATATATATAAACATATATATATATAAATTATTTATTCTAAGGTTAAATGAAATTACTCAACATTTTATTTCCTGTGCAATGTGTATGTGCACAGAAATATGTATTTGCATGTTGCTTTGACTATGATTACCCTACCCGTGATTTTTTTAAAGGTCCCCTATTTTACCACCAGGTGTGAGTGTGATTAGCCATTACAAGCCATTTCGAAAGCTGCCCTCTAGTGACATCACAGGTGTCCACCCAGATGTATGATGTTGAAATGGCTTGTAATGGCTAATCACACTCACACCTTATGGAAAAATAGGGGACCTTTAATGTAACTCAGGGATGAAGATGGTCAACTGATAGGTGACCCAACTATATAATTATTAAGGTGAGTCACAAGTCGTTTCAACCACGCTTACACACACTACACCTGCTGAGCTGCCTTCACTTTAGCTGTCACGGTGTAACTAGGATAGGATAGGATATATACTTTTTTTTTTTTTTGGCTGGCTAATAACATATGTTTATATGTGAAATTACCACAGAATATAACCCCTTTGTTGACTCATGGTAGTGGTGAGGTAAATATGCGTAGCAACAGTGGATAATAACAGACAATAATTGCACTGGTGCTGTTGTAATACTGTACATTATGTGTATATGTAAAATGATCAATGAAAATTGACCAATTGATTGACTCATGGGAGTGGTGAATGAAATATTCATAGCAACCATAGATAGTCACAGACAATTAGTGCACCGGTGTCAATTAGATTCTCTATAATTTATGTTTACATGTGAAATTACCGATCAGAAACGACTAGTTATTTAATTCACAGGAATAGTGAATGAAATATTCATAGAAACAGTCGCTATGGATGGTCGGCAGACACTGTACCTCAGACGTTGCTTGAGAGACAAACTCCTCCAGATGTTTTGCTGTGCCATTACCCACAGCTATTTCTAGTGTGCACAGGCCTCCAAAGTGTCCAACGGGCCGCTGGTATCTGAAGGAAGAAGAGAGAGATTGTTAGCCATGGCTTTCTGGAAGAACGCAATTCACAATGTAGCCATTTAACCGTTGAAATTAACCATACAATGAGCCTACTTCCCATTGTTTTTGAGTGGGGTGGCGGATAGATTAGCTTCAGAGAAGGAATTCAGCGTTTGCTTCCTAAGCTTCAGCCCAAACCCCAAGAGAGCCGACACAAACGTGGGTGTGGGTGGGGGTCCTACCACCGGATTTAAATACTCAGTCTAGGAATAGACTTGTTGTGTTCCTCGGCTAAACGTCGAGACAAAATTGCGCTGTTGAGTGTGCCACAGTTTGACTATGTGTAACATGAATAACATTCAATATGGTTCCTGAACATAGCAATCATAAAATCATACCAATATTTCCACTGTCCATGTATAATTAGGATCAATCTTCGGGGCGATGCATTATAACTCAGAATGCGTTAGGATGAATTGAAGCGCTCATTATGTCATTTAGGATTAATTCAGGATTAAAAAAAAACGAGGGCACCAAACTAGAGCTACATTATAAAGCTAACGAGGAGGACGACACTTTTATCATTTGACCCTCTGTGTCTCTCTGGGGACGCACACAACTGCATTAGTCATTAAGGCTTCAGCCGTAATGTTAAGTAGCTGGTCTACTTGTGTCATAATCCAGCTTTGGTGAGAGTCAAGTGCTCCGCTCCCGCCCATACATCACTGGCTACACCACACATATATTGCCCTCTTTACCTGGACATATATTATGCAAAAGGTTAAACAACACTGCCACACATGACGCTTCAGTACAAATAATCATAAAACAATAAAACCGAACATAGACATAACACAAGCTGCGCTGTATTTTTCTTTATAGATTTTTTCGTTTTTTTCACGATTTATTAATCATAGTTATTGCAAAAAGCGCCGTTCACACATACACACACAAGTGCCAGTTATTTCTTCATGACCTCAATTTGGCCCCTGTGTGCTTCACGATGCTAATCACACGGCAGCGAATCAAGACCCACGTGCCGTTTGAAATTCATTGACTTGCTCATGGGTTCCTTTGTGATTGCCTGCCGCTTCTTGAATAGAAAAATCGACTTTAATGACCAGATGTAAGCAATCAGGGCAATCGCCCTCATGCTAATTTCAAACAGCCTTTTAGGACGCACCCCAGGTGGCAATCACAGGCATACAACTTCAGGTAGGAATAATTACAGGTTGGGAAAGTTAGGAGAGAGAGAGGGTTTGTAAACAGATACATTGAACAAAAAGAAACTTCGGAAGACTACAAATGTGAAAATTCAACGAGAGACGTCCAGAAGTGAATACTAGAACCAAATACTTATCGCAATGGTGCCATCTCCTCATACATCTGTGTGCTGTCCTCATGAATATTATACTGTTACACTGTTTATTCCCCTTGTCACTTAGACATAGACATAAAACCCACACAAAAAAACCCTGGAAAACTTGCTGTAAGGCATGTCTCCAGGTTGGTGGGAAAAACAACAAGATAT